CAATTTCTTTTAAGCATTGAAATAAAAATGTAGAAGTGCTAGTGAAAGTTCAAAGCATAATATTGATACCTGTTTGGGATATATAAATGTTAACGTCAAATTAGAATCTGAATGATATCACAAGCTATATTCTAATAATCTTTTATCAGTCCTAATGCGCTACTACTTGGTCAGAACCAGAAGGATGTAAAAGTATAGCAGCAGTCCATATATCATGAGAGATGAGTTCTGCAGGGGGTCTAACTTTGTCAGGTGCTCATCAGGATCAACAGTGGCAAAAACACTGGAAACTTATGAAGAGAGGAGAAAAATCCCCACCGTAAGGGCGGCAAGGTGGATAGCCCTCTCGCTTCTCTGCAAGAATGTTCTGGGTTCGAATCCAGGTCGGAACAGGGCCTTTTTGAGTGGAGTTTGCATGTTCTCCTCATGTCTGCGTAGGTTTCCCCTACCACTAAAAACATGCACATTAAGTCTGAATGTAATGAGTGAGGGATTGGATGGTGTAGATTGAGGGCTTTGATGCGCCAGTGCGTTTGGTGTCTCACTTCCGTCATCACCAGGTGTGGAGTGATTGCCACAGTATCTGAACTATGAACATTGTAAAGTGCTTTGGGTGACTTTGATCTGTAAAATGCGCTAAACAAACATCACTTACTTACCTAATGAACAGGGATTTTAGTATATACCATAACCCTGTTCATTAAAGGATTTCTATTTCCTTGTCTGTTTTTTCTCCTCTCTTCTAAATGCATGTTTGTCTTACTTTGATATATAAGGAAGCAAAATGTAGAACTCTTCACAGATCATGTCAGGTCTGGGAAATCTGTAAAGCCGCAACGATACATACATGAAAATTATGCTTGTTTTTCTGTTTTAAGTTCTCTGCAAAGCTCTACCATAAATGACATCTAAGCCCTAGCACTGTTGAGCCTCAGCTGGAGGACGAGAGCAGATGAACAGAGGTCCAGTGCATGAATGAAGTGTGCACGTGTGTAAGTGTGTGCGTGCTAGTGTGTGCACGTGTGTAAGTGTGTGCGTGTAGGGCAGTGGAGCAGAGGAGCCTGGCCACGCTTCCAGCCACAGAAATGAGGCCAACTGCAGACCAGAGCTTGCCTGGTCACACGAAGTGAATTCATGGATGTAAAAGAGTTCTACATTTTGTAAAGATACAATGGAAGTTATTCTTGTTTTTTAGTGACACTAACGGCCGAAGTTTCACCAGTATGAGACCAATAAAGGATCTCTTACTCATAATTTCAAAAGAAATCATCCGCCTGAACTGGCACGGAAAGTTTTACCTGGATCAACATATTTTTGCCTAGGTGTATGTAAACCTGACCAGCACAATTCGGAGGTCGGGGAAACCTAAGCAGAAACAGAGAAAGCATAAAAACTCCACTCAGATAGGCCCCTTTTCTGGTACTGATCCAAGTGATAAAGCTGCATAAAGCTGAGCTGGAAGAAATGTGCGTGGAGAGGGAAGTCTGGGGTCTCTGCTTTGACTTCATGCTGCCTCCACAACCCGACAACAGATAAAGCAGAAGAAAATGGAAGGGGACTAAAGTGTCATGGCATCTTTCAAGTAAAAAAAAAACAGCCTTGCCACTTTAGTTACCAATTCTTTGTATCACTTTTGACCTGGTTTCATTTGCTTTATTTGTGTGGATGTAAAACCACCAAACAAGTGAACATGTGTCCACTAATCACTGTACAACATTTGAATCAGATCTGTGAAGCCTTTTTTCCCCAAGTGAACCAGGCCTGGTCCAGTTAAAGTGAACCGCATTAAAGGAGCTATACCCGTTTCTGCAAGGTTTGAATGTTTAGCACCGACCCCCAACTCGCTCACAGGCACACATCGCACAGAGCCATCTTGTTTAATTTACGATCTGATATGTATACTAACATTAGCATTTGCGCAACTTCTTGTAAGCTGTACAACAATCACTGATGAAATGGTACTAAAGCAGCGCACTGCTAACACAATATATAAGTAAAAGAAAACCGCTAGTTTCGCATCCGAATTTATTCATTAAAACATTAGAATATATTTGAATATTTAATTACAATTTATTATACAGCTCCTCACAGCCGCAGTAGAACACTCCATTGACTTGAATGTAATTTCAAAACGTTCTACCGATAATTTTTTCTTGATAACAGAACTCTCAAACCAATAATGACTGCTGCCCTTTGGCAACGCAATCTCTGTTTGTAATTCAGGTGTGTAGAATACTAACATTACTCCGCAAGTACAACAAGCTTTCAGTGCCTGTCACTACTTTTGTCTGTGCAGCGAAGCTAGCGGAGCTAGCCACGCTCAATAAACAAATACCAATCAATCAATCAACACCTTTAAATGTTAATTGGAGAATACATTATACATATACATCCTTAACACACATGCACGGAAGTTTTCTGAATTTGTTGTTAACGTTTTCATGACAAAAATACTGTTGTAATGTGACAAAAAGCGATCGCGATGAACCCAGAAGTAACCATTAACATGAAAAGAACATTTTAGGACACAATTGAAGAGGATCTGATTATGGATTTAGCTTCGGTATATAAATGGGTAACTCACCGCTGATGTTCAGAATTCTTTGTTCAGTTTTCATGTAGTTCCAGAGAGTGCACGTCACGGTGAAACCTTTGGGAGCTAACTATTTTATTTGCAGTCATTAAATACATTTCGAATAATAAGGGCTATCTAATATTTATTCGAATATATATATATTTTAGTTTTAGAATTATATTCAAAATTCGAAGTCAAAGCCCTATTGAGTGGAGGAGAGCTAGCGTCCCGCTAAGTCTCCACTCAGCACTTTTCACGGCCTTAATTCATACACAAGCTGAATCAATGAGCTCAAGTTTTCAATTAAATTACGGATTATAACACAACTTCTATGTAGTAATAAGCATTTTTATTAACTACTTAGAAAAAAAATTGGGTATAGCTTCTTTAAGTAAGGGATTATGTATAGTACACAAGTCATTATCGGAAAATAAGTACCTTCAGGACTTCCGCTCAGAAGGTACTTATTTTCCGATAATGACAATTCTTAGGAATGTCAAAAGGTTTATTTAATGACAGAAAATAAAATAGTTTTCAAAGGTTTTCCTGTAGCTATGCGAGTAACCGTTAGCAACTTCCAAACTAGAACTCTCTCAAACTGCATGAAAACTAGGGATATACCAAATCCAGATTTTTGGGGTTCGGCTGAATACCGAATCCACTGGTTAAGATTCTGCCGAATCCGAAACCGAATACCGAATCCTACTCCATCCTCAGTTCATTAATGTTTCATACGCAAATGTTTTAACAGCGGCGAGCATTTTCAGTTCCATTTTCACTTTTTCACTCACACAGCCTAAGCTACTGTATTCGAGAAAAAATACTTTTAGTAGCCGCACAGCTAGCGCCCTGATGCGTTCAAAGGATAGGCTAATTAGTGAATATAAGATTCACTGTCCTCTACTTGTTTAATCATCATACACCTGTTATGTGTCTCCCTGTGTTGTATATCTGAAGTAATTATTTGGAATAAAATGTTGTTTCCCACATTTTCGTGTGCCTTTGAACGCATCTGCCGGCTACTAGATGCATTTTTTTCTCCATTTCTCGTAATAAACCTTGATACATATGAGCACAAATCAATAATATAATCTGTATATAACAACACAAACTATTTACATGTTTATTTACACTATTTGACATCCGCAAACTGAACTTCCGGACGAATCCGGTTTCCAGGACGAATCCAGCAGCCACACATGGATCTATTAGCAGCCACAGAGCGCATAGTGTAAGCGCAGGGTTCGATTCGGTGGGGAAAAATTCGAAGGTTCGCCTAGAAACCGAACCCCATCAAAAAAGCCATTAGGCCAAATTCGAAACCGAATCCTGTATTCGGTACATCCCTAATGAAAACTGAACAAAGATTTCTGAACATCAGCGGTGAGTGACTCATACGTAAACTTAACCTAAATCCATAATTCGATCCTCTGCAAATGTGTCCAAAAATGTCCCGGAAGTTTTTGCGATTGCTTTTTCTCGCATTAAAACAGTAATTTTGTCATGAAAACCTTAACAGATACTTCTGAAAACCTCTGTGCATGTGTATAAAGAATGTATATATATATATAAAGTATTCTTTGATGAACATTTAAATGTGTTGATTGATTGGTATTTGCGTTTATTGTGTGTGGCTAGCGACAAAGTGGCCGGACTACTTGCGAAGTAATCTACACATCTGAATCACAAGCAGATGTTGCGTTGCCATGGGCAGCGGTCATTATTGTTTTGAGAGGTCCGTTATCAAGAAGTAATGACCGGTAGAACGTTTTGAAATTACATTCAAATCAATGGAGCGTTCTACTGCTGCTGTGAGGAGCTGTGTAATAACTGTAATTAACATAATCAGATACTAAGTAGTTTAACACATTACTTTGACATTCTTACTATTAGATTACTGTTACTAAAAAATGCTGTTGATAGGTACCAATAATGATATGTATTATATTGTTGGAGCAATTTAGATGTGCCTAAAGCTGAGGACACGTTAAACAGCTTTTTGCCAGATTAAAGTGACAGACCCACCACTGTTTGACCATATATAAGCAACTTTCAATTACCTTTGATAATTGAAACTGATGCTGAAATCTTGTATAATACTATATGTTTTGAGAGACTAATTAGCATCTGATTGGGTCAACAAAATTGTGTTTGGACGATTGTATGGATTGGGTCACACACAGTGAGTTCCATCTGTAGAGGATTTTTCAAGTAACTGCAGCCTATAATCAATTTGAGACACTGGTACATGAAGCACTTTTTATTCATTGCAATTACTTACTTTGATAAACAATTTGAATTTTCAGCAACACCGCCAAAGGTTTGTGGCATGTAAATAATCCCATGAACACAGTTTGATACGAGAGATAAGCGTCGGTGGAGCAGACTTCCCCTGTTGACGCGGTTGTTCCAGCCTGTGTTCGCCTCACATCTGGTTCCAGTTAGCTCTCAGCTCTTTGACGTGTTTCCTGAACCACTGCTGCTTCACGAGTCTGAGTGCATCACAGCCCACACCCAGCTCTGCAGGCAATCCATCAACTTATCACCCAAATGGCGAAGATAACAACATTTATAATTAGAATAGTTTTGTTTACCAAGTTTTTCCTTGCCGATGAAGGGTCAAAGGACAAGAAATGCAAAAGGACATTTATGGACATTGGTTATTGTTGCAGTTTCTGCCTAATAGTTTTTTCTAGTTTGGAGTTTGCCAATGAGCAATTCCGTAAGGTCGATCAAGACGACTCCAGTTGGGATTTTCGGTTATACAAAAAAAAAATATATAAAATTCAGAATAAAAATGAAGCATGTGGTGGTTCTGGTTTGCATGTGTCATCTTCTTTCGTAACTTCTAGGTCTTAAGACCGTTTGTGAGCTGAAGATTGCTGACACTCGATAGGGAGACTTATACCACCTTTGTTGTGCTAAATTATAGTATTGTTGTATGTTTAGTAATGTTCTTTATTCTAAATCCAATGCTGCATTAATAGTGGCCACTGTGCTACTTGATCTAAACTTCCTTTACTATGAGGAAGTCATCTGTACACGGAGGTAAGTCCCTGTGTGTGGGACGGGGCTCCCCAGAATGGAGAAGTATATTCACTGGTTACATCACACTGTAACCTTTAGGCAGGGCCGGGGACACAGGGTAGCGAAAGTGAGACTGAGGGGGAGAGAAACAAACAACAGAAGTCAAATGAAGAGACTTAAGAGAAAGAGGAAGGAGCTTCTCAGAGGGTTTCCTGCGTTGGAGGGACTCCCAGCATCAGAACAAAGTGCATTCTCTGAAAGATGGAAAGTTTTGATAAAGGCCGGAGTTCAGAAATGTGTGTGCTGCTCCAACAAAGTACATTGCATCACAGACACCGAGATTATAGAAAGCCCTGATAAATTCATTTTAATTGCCTAAGCTTACAAATACATTTTGATTGATTGCGAGTCTAACCTTCGGATCCTCTGTCCGGGATTGCTGGACCCATTTTAAACCTAATAGCCCGTATACTGATTGCTCCCAATCAGGGGTTAGCGTGAGCAAACGAGGACAAATGAAAGTTTAAGGAGGCAGTATTGATTTGTGTGGAGGTCATGGGGAGGTCAACCATATCAGAAAATCAACAAACTGCCGCCAGCACCCTCCGCAGCTCGACCAACCACCTCCTGACCTGCTCAGCGTTACCATGGCGAATGACCCTGCAACCACACAGACCACACAGGATCCACAGCGAGTGCAGGTTGAGGAGGCTCCAGCTCTGGACGGAGACTAGGAGAGGAGCCTATAACATTTAGTGATTCAACTATGGCGTAAAAGATGTGCCCTGCTCACTCTTAGTTTTGCCCAAAAGATCATAGCTAAAACTACCACAGGGGGATTATGTTTGATCTCACACTTACAGCAGAAGTACACCAAGTTATGTAATCATTTACAAACAACAACAATAAATTTTAAAAACAACAACAATACATTTCATAATTGCAATCCCCTGCACGGCCAAATGAAATCCTCCTTAAGTTTAGCGTTTTTAATTGAAATATAAGGAAACAATCTAATCAAAAATCGAGATCGATCAATATGGCCCAACCCTACTCCAGACCACAGTCCTCTGCTACACAGTTGGCCAGGGCCCAGGTTGAGCTCACCTGGGGCTGCACATGTCAAACTGGGTCGGTTCGACACAAAGCACTGTGCTTGCATGAGTAAACGGTCACTGACCTTAACAGTCTGACATATTGACCATCTGCCATAATGTTGTATTTGCGTCCTCCCAACAATGTTATTGATGAGAGACAATAAAAGCTGTAAACACCTTCTCAATAGAATAATCATTGATGAATGCAGAAAAAAAACAATATGTTCTGATAATTCCAGAGGTCTGGACTCTCACACAATGTCCTAAGATTAGATTGAAAACATTTATGAAAGTCAAAATATCAAAAAAACAAAACAAAAAACAAAATGTCCAGATGAGTTTCTTTTGAAAAATGTTCTGCCTTGCCCCATTCCTAGAAGATTGATGAAGACTTTACAAAATATGCCAACATAGTGTCCCAGTCTAAACAAGTGGCACAAAAAACTCACAACAACAATCTTTCTTGATATCACACTTGAGGATCTGCTGATGTTTTACTGGTATATAAGTTACTCATATTCTGTTGCTCCGTGCTCTTGCCCTCCCCCTTCAGAGGCGGACTGGTGGTGGTGGTAACCGAGCCTCTGGCACAGTGTTCCTATCCTACAGCAGCCCTCGGGTTCAGACCTGTCAATATCCCAGTAGCACTCGCTCTGCTGCGGCTCGGTTAACCTCCTCACCTAAAGACACCACACAAGAGGACATGTCCCTGCTCGACTGACACTGCCCCCCCTCCACTTCCCAGCATTGTACCAAACTGCACGGTCCAGAAAGGGCAGCACCCAGGCAGCAGAGACTTTTTCTCATACTAAAGTCTGGTAGCATTTGGATAATGGTCACGTTGGGGAGATGGAAGAAAGATACTGAAGAAACATCCAGAGCATGCAGCAGAGTGTCAATTATATAGTCAATTATGCATTGACCAACACTTAATAAATTGACTTCAGTATTTTTGGAGGCTAACCAGTTAACCAGTATCTTATAACAACCATAGACTTTATATAATCTAAGACTGGATTGACGGAGTGCTGATGTCACCCATAGTGATTGCTGAATGCGGAAGAAGCCGATTTGAACATAATCTAGCAGCAGCCAATTTCCTTATATGGGCATTTGTTCCGACAGTTAACTTTGTGCTATAACAGCAGCAGAAAGCTGAAGTGGAACATTAATGGAGTTTCCCCATAAATGAAGGCATCTGGTTAACCCTTATATTGTTTATATGTGGATTTATAACAACAATATTGAAATATAAACACCAGGATCATGTCTATGATAAGTGTCTATCTATATACAGTCTATGTACTCAACATCAGGAATCTGCCTTTTTATGATGTTTGAGGGCTTCCCAGTAACAGACCATGCTGCCTATGAGACGACAATAGATCAGTTTAATGCCATACTTAGGGAGATTATGGCCACAGGATCAACAAACACACATTCCAAGGAAACACGCAGGAGAAGGCCTTTGATCACGAGTCTGATTGTGGTTGTCAAAAAAGTAACATGTTGAAGATTTCATTCAACATTCAGAAAGTTTCATTGAGTTGGTCACAAGTAGAAAAATGTAATACTGTACATGTCCATTGCTTAACTCCTGGTGTAAGATCTGTTTTTTCCTGGAATGTTGCACAGTTTGAAATATAAAACCTTCTAACTAAAGTAACTTATCTTGGATAATTTAAGTAATATCTCCCAAGAGGCGAGCCAAGAACTCAGAGCAGTAAAATATTGTACACTTTATATCACACAGAGGTCCAATCCAAGCTGAGCAAAGCAAAAACATCTACATATCAACAAGCCTGAGATGGATCTGAAACGTTGCGAACTACAGCTTTAATGTACTCTGGATAAAAAGCTCTGGATGAATTGCGGATTTTTGATAATGAGCACTCTACTAATAATTCCTACATGAGAAAAAAGTAATCTGCATGTGTGGACTAAAGCAGGAGCTGAGTGTGAGCCGCCCCCCGCTCTCTGGCGTGATAAGCAGCGTGTGGCAGCATGTCTCGTGTCCTGTCTCGTATCGGGCCGTCCTGACCGCGAGGCACCCAGGCAGTCTGCTGGGGGCTCAGGTTTCGGCACAGCGGCGGCACAGACACCCCCCCCACCTCCGCAGGCTCCGGAGCAGGTATCAGGTTGCCAGTTCAGCGCCGGCCAGGCTTGACGCTGGCGGCGGCCTGTGATCTCGGAGCCAGTGTGTGAATGTGTGTGCGTGTTTGTCTTTGAGCACAACACTGCTGTCTCCTGCAGGTATGAAGGTGTGATTTACAGAGCTGAAGCTTCCGCACGCAACCTTCACCTGCTCCATCTGCACTCAACACCGATAAAAGCCGTTATGCAGATCACTGATAAGGTTTCAGCCAACAATTTCGTCATTTAGTCTTTAAATGTAATTTTAGAACAAAGTCAAATAAATCTCTGCTTAAGTATGCTGTGGTGGTTTGATTTGTGGCACTATTTCAACAAAATATAAATTAACATTGACCACAACAAATACAATTTACTACTGAGGAAATAGCTCTGAGGTAAATAATATGATATGGTTTATAAATTGAAAATGTTGTGCTACATGTATATACTACTATGTCTGATATTAAGGGGAATATTTATCAAGGGTTTAAGTGTGCACACACAAGTGATTAGTACCCATCAAAATTTAACTCATTTATCATGCAAGTCCTAAACAAAACAGAGAAAATATTATTATTCCATCCATTTTCTTCCCCTTAATCCTTTTCTGGGTCGGGGGGTGGCAGTCAGAGCTGCACCCAGTACACAGAGCACCAGCCCCTCACTGATCCTCCTGCTGCTCCATCATCTTCAGCAGCAGCAGTGGATACAGCAGCAGCAGTGGCTGCTCCATCATCTTCAGCAGCACCTTCCCCACCTACAGCTCCCGTGAAGCTTCCCCCATTACTCCAGGCTACAGTCAGGCCTGTACTGGGGGTTCCTCAACCACCTCTGTCTCCACCAAAGACTCCCTCATCACCTTCCATGGACCCGGCTTGGGTCCCCCCCGCTACATCCACTCCATCTAGGGAAAATGAGGACGACCTTTCCCTTTGTTTTCTATCCCCGCCTTCACTACTGGATTTACCGGAACACTCTGCAGGCATGATAAGATCGGCGATGAAGACTATTCCTCTCACACCCACTGTAGCCAGATCAAGAGTCCTATCTAACATTCAAAACTACTCCCCATACGTACCTCCAAAGCCACCTAGGGCGTCCAACTCAAATTCTCCCACAAAATCCACCCGTCCCTCCTCTAACCCCATAAGTATTCCACCCCCCCCTCCTGCTCATTTAGCCCCCCCCCCCCCCCCCTAACTCAGCACCAAGAAACCCTCCACCTCCACTCCCCCCTCGTCCACCACCCAACTCAGCCTGCCCCTCCCCTAACCCATCACCAAAAACCCATCCACCTTCAACCCCTCCCCGTCCAACTCCCAAGAACCACCCGCCTCTCCATCCTCCTCCCCCGCCTTCCCCTACCCCTCTTTTCTCTAAACACTAGGATGCACAGGGTCTCTGCTTCGCAGCCACTGGCAGTCTAGTTAGAGGAGAGACCCGGCTGGGGCCCTGTCGTGAAGCCACCTGTGCAGACCACTTTGTCTCCCATAGAATGTCTCTTGGAAGTTTCCGTCTTTTGAATATGTGTCTTTTAAAATACAACAAAAACAATCTCCTCCAATACTTTTCGTTGTCCTATACAAGCCACCGCAGTCATGTCACAGTTTTATTGATAATTTTACAGAGTTGCTTTCAGTTGTATGCACAGATTTTGATAGTTTAGTTATTACAGGTGATTTTAATATTCATGTGGATAATGTTGATGACAGAAATGCTAAAGAGCTGAGTTCTCTTCTTGAATCTTTTGGTCTCACTCAGCATGTGAGTGGCCCCACCCACAGCAAAGGGCACACTCTAGACCTGTTAGTTACAAAGGGGGCGAACATATATAATGTAAACGTGGTCGATGTTGCGCTTTCGGATCATTTTTGTATATTTTTTGACATGTGTTTCACTAACAAACCACCAGTGGACTCTGCAACTGTACGAAGAAGACACATAAATAAAAATACGGGTGAACTATTTATGGGAATGATAAACTTTGAGAATGCATCGTATTCTACTGTAGATGAACTGTTTAACTCTGTCACCTCTAGTGTTTTGAAAGTTCTGGACACCATCGCTCCTGTGAAGGTTAAAATTGTGAAAAATAAGCAGAAGGCGCCGTGGGCTAAAGCAGACTCGGTCAGAGCACAAAAGAGAGAGTGCCGGAGGGCCGAGCGGAAGTGGCGCAAGTCCAACCTCCAGGTTGATTACAAGATCTTCAAAGATAAGTTGTGCGAGTTTAACCAGGTGCTACGTAGTACAAGAGAAAGGTATTTTTCTGAAATGATTGAAGGCTGCAGCAACAATCTGCGTGTTCTGTTTTCAACAGTTAATAGATTAACAAACCCCCCTGTTCAAATGCCATTAGAGCTAACTTCCAAACGTAAATGTAATGAGTTTGCACATTTTTTCAATGACAAGGTTCAAGGCATCAAAAACGCCATTGTCTCCAATCCACAGATAACAATCCAACAGCCAGAAAGGCTCTTTGAGCTAACTTACTTTGCACCTGTAAATGATCAAACTGTCCAAGAGATAATCTCCAGTTTGAGCTCCTCCACATGCAGCCTGGATGTACTACCCACTAGATTTCTAAAGTCTGTTCTGAGCAGTCTGTTACCTTCACTCACACAGATAGTAAACATGTCCCTTGATTCTGGAATATTCCCAAAGGCCCTGAAAACTGCAGTCATCAGGCCCCTGCTAAAAAAGAGCAGTCTGGATGCTACGGTACTTAACAACTATCGTCCCATCTCAAATCTGCCATTTATGGGGAAAGTCCTTGAGAAAGTTGTCTACCTACAGCTTACTAGATTTCTTATAATCAACAACTCATTTGATATGTTTCAGTCCGGCTTTAGACCCCACCACAGCACTGAGACTGCTCTCGTTAAGGTTACAAACGATATCCGGCTGAACACTGACGCAGGCAAAGTCTCAATCCTAATCCTGTTAGATCTAAGTGCTGCCTTTGATACTGTCGACCATGAGATCCTCTTACAGAGACTAGAGGACTGGGTTGGCGTCGCTGGCACCGCCCTAAGTTGGTTTAGGTCTTACCTTGAAGACAGGAAGTACTTTGTGGAGATTGGAAACTGTGTCTCAGATCATATGGCCCTGACCTGTGGAGTACCACAGGGGTCGATCCTGGGACCTCTTCTGTTCAATCTCTACATGCTGCCGTTAGGTCAGTTAATACGCAGAAACAAAGTTTCCTATCATAACTATGCAGACGACACTCAGATCTATGTCTCACTGACTGCAGGAGAACATGGACCAGTGGACTCACTCCTTCACTGTATCCAACAGATCAGTGAGTGGATGCAAAACAACTTCCTTCAGCTAAACGCAGACAAAACTGAAATGATTGTCTTTGGTCCCCAGAAACAAAGAGAGAGCGTCATCTGTCACCTACAGTCTCTCTCCCTAAAACCTTCTAACAAGGTCAGAAAATCTAGGGGTAATAGTGACATGTTAGTCCCATATGAACCAGCCCGGACTCTGAGGAGCACAGGGACTAGACTCCTGTTAGTGCCCAGAGTCAGAACAGAACTAAACATGGGGAGGCTGCTTTTCAGATTCATGCTGCTAAAATCTGGAACAATCTTCCTGAAGATGTGAGACAGGCCTCCTCTCTGACAATGTTTAAAACCAGGTTAAAAACGGTGCTGTTTAGCTGTGCATACAACTGAGGGATTTTATATTTTTATCTTTCGTTTTAATGTTCTGTAATTATTTATGATTTTAATGCTATCTTGTTCAGCACTTTGAGTTGCCTTGTGTATGAATTGTGCTATACAAATAAACTTGCCTTGCCTTGCCTTGCCTTGCCAGGTGGTGAGTCCACTGGAGCCTTGATCTTTCAGCGGGGGCCTCAGGCAAAGTGGGGTTAAGTGTCTTGCCCAAGGACACAACGGCAGCAGACATCAGTGGGAGTCGTGTTGTAGGTCTTATGGTGGGCTTGAACCCACAACCTTCAGGCTCAAAGGCCAATGCTCTGCCTACTGAGCCACTGTCACAGTGTTATCATTATTTAATCATAAAAATATAGCCTAAAAAATGTTATACAATTATTCTTCATTCCATTTACTCCTGTTATCAGTTGCCAAATCGTTGGCTGGAAGCCGTCTGAGACTTCCATATTCATGCACACTTCCTCCAGCTCATCCGGAAGTATCCTGAGGCGTTACCAGACATTGTGAGAGACATTGTCCCTCCAGTGTGTCTTGGGTCTTCACTGGCTCCTCCGGTGAACACCTGCCCTGGGATGCATCCAGGAAACGGGGTACTTCTCCACTTGAAGAAGGACCTCTCCACCCACCAGGTGAGGACAAGCACCATGGCCTTGGATTTGGGGCCGAATTTCATTCCAGCTGCTTCACACTTGGCTGCACACCATCAGTGCATGTTGGAAGTCCTGGTTCGATGGAGCCAAGAAGACATTGTCTGAAAACAGCAGAGTTGAATTCCTGTGGTCCACAATCCGGTCTCTCTCCAGCCCCTGTACCCAGCAAAAAAACAGTGAACAGAACCGGTGACAAAGGGCTGGAAGAGGCCAACATGCTGGGAACAGATCTGACTTACTGTCGGAGAAGCAAACACCAACTCACAGTGATTGAACACTCCTAAGTAAAGAGCCAAGGACACCATATTTCCGGACTCCCCTTTGTGGTTCCTCGCAACGATCAAATCCACAAAACGAAGGTGGACAGGTTGGGCAAACTCCCATGATCCCTTGAATAGACAAGGGTACTCGCATGGAAAAACCACACTGTTTATCCTGAATCTAAGAACCGATCAACGGTTGAAGACCCCTCAGCAGTGCCTTGGAAAAGACCTTACTGTTCCTGCTTTGCCAAGCAATTATGCAATTTTTGTGCCAGCCAAGATGGTCCCAACAACATGCAGAGGCTTAAGATAGTTCGAAAGAATCTCATCCAATGCTTTCCACCAAACAGGTCGTCAACCTCAGTGACGCGGTTGATTGGATGATGGGATTATCTGTCCCAATGTCTTCGGCCACTGCTTCCAAAGAGGAGGATGCAACATAGTGAAAAACCTTGCATTATTTCCACCGTCCAAAAATATCCAGATTCAAGGTCAGCAGCTGTAAATGGGACAGGTAAGCCAATGCATCCCAGGTCAGAGGCGCAGGATGGTTTTAAGAAGCCTATTGGGTTCAAGCGATAGGCGTTCTGAACACCTCCAAATCCCGAGTCTTTGCCTCTGCAACATCTCAAGGCAGCTGTACGTCAGCTGGTACTGGACAGCTGCTTCAGGAGTCCTACAATCCAACTTCATTTGATAGACTACAAGCTACAAGTTACTGAATCAGTGATAGAGGTGGAGAACATGGTCCAGTCAGCGTCAGTGTTATACTATAAAGTGTTTTCAGTCTGTTTGATTTACAAACTTGTAAACAAACTATTTATTTTGTACTATTCTTTTTATTTAGTCAATACAATATTTTAATGGTTCAAACTTGTGTGCAGTATAAATGCTGCTCAAATAGATAAATAAAAACATAAATGGTGGGCTGTGTTTCAGGGTTTGTATGCTTGTGTACTGCTTCATTAGCTTTTCTAATGTAGACATTTATGGGTCGCTCCCAAACCTTGGGTAAACTGGTTCTCATTTCTATTCCATATGTATGAATCTTATACTTAGTAAAACAGAACTGATCAATTAACTGACTCAACTACTGTAGCCAAGTCACATGATGTGCAGAATATTTTCCAACACTCCATGCTTGCGATTTTCCAAGAAGCTGCAGTTTGTCTGAAGCAGGAAGTGGAAGGTGCACCCACAGGTCAGTGGAGTAGACCCTGGATATGCAAGGCCCTTGTGATGGCTCTGTCCGCAGCTCTCCGGCAAAGAACAGCACGAATGAATAATGCATGTGGACATCTGCCACCCCTGAATTATAGATCTGTGCCTCCCCAGCATATGAGAACAGTCCAGCAAATGCTAATGGCTAACTCCATGACAAACTAGGCGCCTCCAACACATGAGGGATAGCCAGGTAACCAGTTTGATGTGTGTGAGCTGGTTTGTAAATGGAAATGCTAGGTTGAAAACAAGAGATTTATTAATACAGTATGACCATAAATAGGTGACAATCCCAAGGTGCTTGAGTAGACGCACTTCCAGATAATAATATAGAACTATTTTTTTCTGTATGCTACAATGACTGAGCAGTGTCAAAGGCTTCCAATGCGCATCCACAAGCCTTTCCAGCTGATAATTAGCCACTGGTGGATGTAGTCGTAATGGACAACCCAAGATGCAGTGGCTACAATGTCTTTGAGCTTTAACATAGTCTTCCTCGTGGTGAAGTGCACGCTGCTTGAATATTCTATAGTCCCTCTTCGGTTACGAGATCAAGAGGCCCGAGACATTGTGGGGTATGGAGAGCGGTGGTGAGTGGGGTACTTCTTGCAGCCCAGTGGAGCAGGAAAGGCAATGGTCTTCTGGGACTCTGCTTTCGATCTCCGCTCCTCTCTCCTGGATTATCCTCTTATCGGCACCGCAAAAGCTGAGGCAAAGACGCGCCAGTAATTAGCCTATCTTTAATTAACGAGCTCCGCGATTCCAAAACCACCCACAGACAAGCATATAGGCTCCCAATTGGAAAGCAGTCAGCGCGGCGTGAAGATGAGCGCGCTTAATCTTGTTTTGGTCGTTAGCGAGAGAGAACTAACGTGTAAGGAAAGGCCAAAGTTCATGTTGAAGTAGTTGGGGATTTGCACCAAGCAGAACGTTCCCTCATGTGCACGCGCTCGCCTGCAAAAGCATGGCTTTCCACACCACAGGTTTCAAAGGGAGCCTCCCACCCACCACTGTTCCACTTTGTTGTGTAGCGTTTGTGATGTGGCTGCAGTGCATTTGTGCACAAGTGTGTAGAGTAAGGACTACAGCCAAATTAGGCTTTACTTCAACAACAATCCAGTCTTAAGTCTTAAATTTCCATCTCATGAAATGTACAGTGGAGAAACATAACAATGCTCACATCAAACTGGTCTGTGTAGTATATGATCGCCACATCATATTTTTCATGGGAGATATTGTAGTAATTGGCAATGAAATTCAACAAAATAACAAAGACACCATTTTGTCTCAGATATGTGACAAAGATTAAGAGACTGCTTAATCAAAAATGCATCCTTCATATTTATGGATGGACTTCGCCCCAGGGGCAGAGCTGTTTTTATACTCGACTGTAAACATGTTTACTTCACTACAACCGAGGACGTACAGGGCTGTTACCCTTTCTTAATGTAAAATCATGTAGACTGCGGGGTGCTGGACCATCTATGCACCACATGAACTAAAAGCACCAGGTCAACTCATTACAGCGCTAATAAAATGAGAGAACCAGGTCGTCTGAAGGAACAGAAGCAGGAGGGACATCGATGGTGCCCTGGCCTGGGCTGCACTGGCACCATCAAGCGGGGGGCAGTGCGCAGCCTCAGCATGCATACATTAGCGGTGCTTAGCCACACTAATTGCTTCTCACTTAGACAAATCTCCTGCAAATCACGGCTGCGCCGGCAGCATTGGCTCGGCCCCCCGGGAAGGAGAGACGGCAGGCAGGCGGACGGAGCGAGAGGCGGGGGGAAGGGAGTGTGTGCGGGGCCGAGGAGGCGGAGGTGGGGGGTCCCAGGAGAAAGCATAGAGTGAAGAAAGAGAGAGAGGAGCTCCACACTTCAGAGTGGGCCTCGCTCTGCTGCACAGCCCACAGTCCAACCACCCCCTGCCCCCCATGAACCCCGCAGCTCTGCCCCTCCTCGCTGCTCACCAGCGAAAAGTGGAGGAAAGATGAAACTCTACAAAGAGGGAGAAAAATCAATAACACAGATGGATAGCTGGATAACAGGGTCCGGCATGCTCCGGCGCTGAGGCAATCCAGAGGGTGCCCACACAACTTCCACAAAGAGAGAGTTGGGCCAAAACAAGGCGCTGGGAAGAGGCCGTGAGCAGCCTCAGGAAGACAGCATCACCACTCGCTCTGAACACGCGCTGCAGTGAATACAAAACTCCCAAACTTCATAAATCAAACTTTGATCAGATCAAGCTCCTGCTCAGCACAAAAAATAAACAAAACCAGAAGTACTTGTTAGAGAGGGCTGTGAATGTCCATAATCCACTCGCCTAATTTGGAACACATCTGAAATAAAGTGTGGAAAAAACTCTTCATTATTAACTTTACTACTACTAAGATCAATACTTTGTGCTCTAGAGCAGCAGTGGACATTGGGAGCGGGAGGTAAGGTCTTCGAGGTCATTGATCAAGTTTCATCAACACATTTAATGAAAAACTGTTATGAAAGCTTTGAAAGCAGGTAGGAAGGATGCATATTGAGCTCTAAGAAGGTAGAGGTTTGTATGGTCCATTGTCCTCTAATTTCTACAAATATAAGGTACAAAGCTAAAATTTAAGTCCTGAAGGGACCAACGTGAAAATAGTGGACAAAGTTTGAGAATGATGGATGATGTCTCCGCTGGATAGACGGTACTAGATATAAGCTAATGTAGCTTCCTGAGAGTTCCCTTTAACAAAGCACCAACAAACTTTAGAAAAAGAAAGAGAATACTTTTACTCATAACATGATATGACTGAAAGACTCTCACAATCATGGCCCAAACCAAACAGCAGCAGTTCTAGCCCTGCAGTCAGCAGTTTGCTACAGCATTTTAAGCAGTGATGATCATTTATTACACAATACTGAAAGATGATGTGTACTTTGAAAGTATTGTTAATTTACTTCAAATAGTTTTGCTTCAATACTTAACATTTTAGTTAAATATGACATTAGAGTCACCATGTTAACACTGACAAGTTGGTTGTAAAACATTGAATTGTTTAGGCCCTTCTATCAACGTCCTATTGAAATGTCCTATTTCATTTTTTTTTACTGAATTGATTTAATTTCATATTATTGTCACCCCCTGCAGGACACTCTGTCTGGTCTGGAGAGCAGCTTCAGTGAGAGACTTATTCACCCTCAATGTGTGAAGGTGAGGTTCCGCAGGTCTTTCCTTCCTGCTGCTGTCAGACTGTACAACAAACAATAAGGACCAACACTGCCAACTTGATCCCACGTGTCATTCATTGATGCAATATCCTTAACTAATGTGCAATAACCACATGTCACTCACTTTACTGAGTCCCTGTGTCTCAGAGCCTCATGCTGCTAATGTACAGATGCAAACATACTGCTGCTAATGTACAGATGTAAATATACTGCTGCTAATGTACAGATGTAAACATACTGCTGCTAACATGTACAGATGTAAACATACTGCTGATAATGTACAGATGTAAACAAACTGCTGATAATGTACAGATGTAAACATACTGCTGCTAACATGTACAGATGTAAACATACTGCTGCTAACATGTACAGATGTAAACATACTGCTGCTAATGTACAGATGTAAACAAACTGCTGATAATGTACAGATGTAAACATACTGCTGCTAACATGTACAGATGTAAACATACTGCTGCTAACATGTACAGATGTAAACATACTGCTGATAATGTACAGATGTAAACAAACTGCTGATAATGTACAGATGTAAACATACTGCTGCTAACATGTACAGATGTAAACATACTGCTGCTAACATGTACAGATGTAAACATACTGCTGCTAATGTACAGATGTAAACAAACTGCTGCTAATGTACAGATGTAAACAAACTGCTGATAATGTACAGATGTAAACATACTGCTGCTAACATGTACAGATGTAAATATACTGCTGATAATGTACAGATGTAAACAAACTGCTGCTAATGTACAGAATAGATGTAAACATACTGCTGCTAACATGTACAGATGTAAACATACTGCTGCTAATGTACAGATGTAAACATACTGCTGATAATGTACAGATGTAAACATACTGCTGATAATGTACAGATGTAAACATACTGTTGCTAATGTACAGATGTAAACATACTGCTGCTAACATGTACAGATGTAAACATACTGCTGATAATGTACAGATGTAAACATACTGCTGCTAATGTACAGATGCAAACATATAACTACACTTTGAATACACAGTACTTTATACTTGCCTCTTATTTTGCCAAATGTAAAACTTTTACACCTATTTTATTATTATTTACAAGATAGAGATTTTTTACTTTTATTGATGCTAGAGTTAGAGATATTGTTTTATTTTTCTTAGTATAGCTATTGTTCACTTAACTTGTGCCATGTGCTCCTCTTTCCTACTGTTTCTATAACTTGTGATGCAACACAGAAATGTCCTCACTGTGGGACAAATAAAGGATCTCTTAATCTTAATCTTAATCTTAATCTTAATCTCCTAAACAAGTAAAGGGAGTTTAAGCAAGAGGTCCATCTGATGCCATTTCTTTATGTTGGATCTCCAAAATCAAGAAAGCATATATATTTAAATGGGCACCTTTAGTTGAATCAAAACTCAAACTCCTTTTACACAATTACATTATTCCGTATTAGGAGTATAATGAGTGTACCTGAGTCCTTGCTTGTCCTTACATACTTAGGGCAGTAGTTAGAGAAGGCTGTGGATCTGGATCATCCTTCCTCCCACTGACACCACCGCTACAAACACCCCACTCACTTGGATCTGTAAAAACAAGCACAAGTAGAATGTTATCACAGGGTTCCCCAAAAAACAGTCGAATTAGAAAGTTGGTGGATGTGAGTATTTTCATATTAACCATTATTTGGTGTGGTTTGACAGAACAGGCCTACAGTGGCAAATGTCTGATATTAAAATTGGAGTTCATAAATAATAATCTTGGATGTGCTTTGTGGCCATAGTAGGCGATAAATTGTTGAGAAAAATCATGGATGTTTTATGGAGAAGAATACAGATGCTCTCGCGCCCCCAAGAGTTTAGTTTAGGTTTGGTGACAGAAAAACATTCCCAACAAATAACAGTGTTACAGCGCCACCCTGAGGACACACACGGGCACCACGCCTCTGCCTCAAAATACAAGCATCCTTAGCTGTCGTGCATTTAGCAAATACTTGAAATACGTGAAATGACAATTATACAGAGTTGTAAATGACAATATATATGTATGTGGATGTATATATACATCCACATACATATAAAATAAAGGTATGTCTCATCAAATAAAACTATTGGCGCAGAAACGAAACAGGCACATGGCTTTGTATTGTTCCACTTGTTTTACCACAGGTGCATTTGGACTTTCTGAATTTTCTTTTGCAGCCATGGGACCTCGAAGTAAAGAATGTGTAAACTGTGTGAGTTTCAGAATTAAACTTACCGGTGTTAGCGAGCAAAGTTCGACTACAGCTGTAGTGAGAGACTCCCGCGTTCTTCTCGATGTGGCCAGAAGGGGGCAGTACAGACGACCCGCTCTTTTCACAAACATTGTTGTGTTTTATGTTTGATATTTTTCAGTCTATGGTTTTATGGACATAATCCACACCATAAACAGTAAGAGAATAAAACATTAACCTTCAGTACAATATTTCAAATAGTTTGACTTGTATCTGCTTATTAGTTGTGGTTGTTTTTATTGTTTGTCATATTCACACCCCGGGTATTCACAGGAATAGTCAAAGACATACAAACATGTAAACATACTAACTCTATAGGTATAGTTTTTTGAGCTAGTTTCTCTCTGTAAGAAGGTTCTGGGTCCGGCATACAGAAGTGTTTGCATGTTCTCCTTGTGTCTTTCGTAGGTTTCCTTCAGGTGCTCCAGTTTCTCTTAGTCTTGAGCTAATTCCATTGTACTTACAGTAGTAGCAGGTCATTAATACACACTGCACGTACAAATAAATATATTAAAATAGAATATATGCACTTTTGACTGTGACCCCAGGAAACATGTTTGATTCTCTGATCAGAGAATCTGATCTGATCCTCTGAGACAACTACTGTAGTGATTTAGGGCTATACGAAAAAATATATTGAATTGAAACAATGTAATATGATTGAAATCTGATCAGTTGCGAGCAGGAGATAAGGTCTAGCATTTCTTACCATGATCCAAATGTTCTTTATCGGTCTTGAACATATGACATCAGAGAGTTTGATTTTCTCCAGGCGGCCACAGTTTGGACACCTGCAGTTGCTGACGGCTGTTAAGCTTTGTAAAGTCTTTCATATATAGCATTTTGAAAAGCCATTCTAAAAAGGAGTCAGGAGAACCTTCATTTAGCATTTGGACAAACAAAAAATACACTGTCAAATATCTGTAGAGATAAATTTTAATGCAAAATGAATCCACATGTTATAGCAACCACCATAGTGAAATATGAAATTAATATTTACACTGTCCATGCATTCTGAGACGGTTAATTAATGTAAAATAGATGTAATACATTATGCATAATTTAAAAAAAAAATCCTTCAACCCCACGTTAAAAACATTTCCTTTTAAGATGTAAAACTATTAGAAAAATATATCCCACAAAACAAAGCTGGAGTCATAAAAACTTATGACATATGGACTGATGTTCACACTCTGGGAGATACTTCTTGTGCAAGTGTGTTGGAAGTTGAGGGTTAGATTCCACAGTCTTCCCATGACAGTGTTGTTCCACAGTGTGCCATGTTCTTTGAAGACCACTTTGAGACCAATTATATTTTAAAAAGCAGAAGTGTGCCCCAGGGCAGCTGTGGCTACAGTAGTAGTTCATCACCACCGTGTATGGAGTGAAAGAATAATGGCATGTAAAGCGTCTTTGTGTGTCCAAAAAAGCACTATATAAAACCAAG